TGCAGTTACCAGCAGTGGAGATAGAGAGATGATGGGAAAATTCAGTAGGATAAAAACCCTATAGAAATACTCTCACAGATATTGGTTTCCTTGTGCAAATGTGACCTTTTTTTACTATTACTCAAACACAGCCATTAATTCACCATTAAGAAGGTAGAAGCTTATGACAAAAAGAATGCACAGCTGCATGAATTGTATATATATATACACACACATATATATGTGTGTGTATATATGACATATATTATATTAAAAATCTGATATGCAGAATAAAATCATTATTTATTGACTACAGCCACCAGCTGAATTGTAATGGATTCTGTTTCTCAGATTGGTTCTGCAAAGAACCAAAGCCCTATGGGTCAAAAAATAAATTGATTGTAAGGATTTGAAAAAGACCTATGTCAATACTGACAAGAAGAAAAAGCGGTGAAGAAACATTTTTATTGATGCTGTATTATGTAGCATGACAAAAGAGCCCTTCCTCAAGGTACAAATGAGCACTTTCTTAATCTTCTGCTCACAGTTCATATGTCTATACTCTTCGCCTGTGGAAATAGGGGAGTACAGCCAAAATAAATTAGGTGCTAGCTTTTAATTATTTTTTTTACAGACAATAAGATCACTACTAACAGACCTTGGCTGCTTCAGAAACTACTTGTATGAGTCACGTTCTGGTGTCCTAAGTCTTCAATATTATGTTTTTATACCTTAAAACCTCATTTTTCATCATAAGCAAGAAGCCCCAAACTCCCTTTCCAGAAGCAAACGTGCTCTCAGTGACCCATTTTTACTCATCTTCAATCTCCACCGGGGCATTATTTCTTAATGATTTTTCTACAGTACTGAACTTTTAACAAAACAGTGCTTTTTTTTTTTTTTAATATACTTACTCTCAGCAGAGAAATAAGAAAGATGATTACGTTTTGGTGTCAAACAAAAGCCTGCGCAATCTTACATTGCTTCCTACACCACTTTCACTTTAAAACCACTCTGAAAGTACCCTGGGCTGAAACCGTAACTAAACCCCCTCGGCTGCTTTGGCCGGAGAGTTTACCTCCCGTACGTTTTATCCCCCCTCCGCCGCCCCCGTGCGGGTTTTCTTCGTTGAGAGCCGGCTCCACG